AAAATAACTTTTTGAAAAATGAAATTTAAAAACCGAGAAAGACACCAAATTTTAATCATTTTCTTTAGGAATTGATGGGTGAATGCTATTGATGACAAAAGCTAGGAGAGTGAAGGAGAATAATGAAGTGAAGGGTACATTGATAGATGCAGTGGGCAATAGTTAATTGCCTGAAGGTTGTGAAGAAATTTAAATCATGATTCATGGGAGACAATAGACAACTGGAGCTTGTAATTAGAGGATTTCAGAGGCTATATAAAATTTAGTAGTGCTTTAGGACACAGCTATATGTAGGTTTTACTGAAGGGAAGAGTCGAGGTCGGTGGATTTAAGTAGAACAAAAAAAATCATACAATTACTGTTTATTCTAGCATATATTCATGTTATATCCTGGAGAAATACTAGTGAATAAGGTGAACTCAGAGGAGAGGCCAAATCATGCAGAGCCATTTGGCTTTTGTTCCACATGTGATGAGAAACTCTTAGTAGATTTTAAGCAGGGCAATGACTTGGTACAGCATGTTGTGAAAAGATCACTCTGGCTGTTATGTTGGGAATATATCCCAAGTGTGTAAACAAGAGCAGAAAGAGATGAAATAGTAAGCTGTCACAGTAGCCTGGGTAAGAGGTGATAGTGGCTTGGACAAAGATGATAGCAATGGAAATGGGGGAGACGGTAGACAGATATATTTTACATACAGATTAGTAGTTCTTGATGAATTAGACATGACAGGTGAAGGGAAGTGAGGAATTAAGGGTAATTTTTAAGTTTCTGTGTTGGGCAAGGGTATAGATGGTGTAAGAGAGGAAAAGATGAGAGATGAGGATGGATAGAGAAAATCTTTATGGATATTGAGTTTTACTATTGGATATTTCAGTTTGAGGAATTTGTGACTGTGTGTATTTGGCAAGTTGGCTGTAATAGTATAAAACAAAGAGGAGTGGATTGAAGGCCTTTACTTGAGAGTGAGCAATGTAAACACAGTGACTGAAGTTATGGGCATGGGTACGATTATAGAGGAGAGGATGGATAACTGAAACAGTCCTCTGACATAACTGACCCTGTTTCCTGAGAGGCTTGGTGAAGGCAGACATTATACTACTAACAGCATGCTGGCAAATGACTTCCTGGCCCCTAAAGGCCCTGAGGTGAGTATGCTTGGTGTATTTGAAGAACAAAAAGCTGTAGCTGGAGTAAAATGAACAAGGGGTCAGCAGTAAGAAGGGAAGAGTGACAGAGTAGAAATGGAATTTTTAAGGGTTCTGCAGGTCATTGCAAGGACTTTGTGCTTTAAACAGTGAAATGGAAAATGATTGGACAATTATGAGTAGATGCTTGTTTATAACTAATGTTTTACCAGGCTCCCTCTGGCTGCTGTGTGGGGAACACATTAAGGAGAGCAACAGTGAGAGTGGGAGAAGAGAAACTGCAGGGAGAACAGGTATCACAGTAAGTCAGGAAACAGGTGATAGTGGCCAACAGTAGTGTGTGAGCAGTGAAAATGTTGAAAAGGTGTCAGGTTCTGGTTAGATTTTCAAGGCAAAAGCTAGCATAATTTCCAGATCAGATGTAGATTGATTTCATTAGATGAAAGAAGAGTCAAGGATGCATGAATCCAAGGATTTGCAGGAATATATAGCAAGACAAAGTTACCATTTACTGAAAAGAGAAAAGCTATGGAATAATCAGAGTGGAGAGGACAATTAGGGGCCCAATTTATGACATGTTAAATTTGTAGCATCTAAGAAACATCCAAATGGAGATGTCAGGTAGGCAGTGAGTTACAAAGGCCAGTAGTCCATGGAAGAGACAAGCTGAATTTATGTATTCAGAACTTTTATCGGCTTATAGATGGTATTTAAAGCCAATGAGGTCACCAAATTAATATAAATGAAGAAAACAATGATCAATCCCTGGGGGGTGTTCTAAGAAGTGATTAAAGTATATCAGATGCTGCGACATTGTACTTTCTTCTTCCTTCCCTTTATTTGCTCATGGTTATAAGTGAATAAACTATGCAGAACTTGCTTAACTATGCCCAGACTCAGAATCAAATGGCTTTCCCTTCTCTATCCTCCATTGCATGTGTACTGTTCATCCTGGGAACTGTGCTAAATGATTGTGTTCCAATCTCAGCCCTCCCACACCAAATGATACTGATATGAAAAGCGCAACATAGTAGGACTGAGCAATTTAAACTGGAGAAAAAGACTTTCCAGGAAGTCAGTGGGTATAAGCAACTACCTGGTGAGAGAATCAAGGCATTTGATTAGAAATTGCAATGATAAAGATTTAGGCTTGACAGAACCAACTTTTCCCACAGGGATATGTGCTGAACATGAAGTAGTGAGGTTTCTATGTCTTTTGATGTGATGGTCATAGAACTTTCAAAAATGTTCTCTTTCTGGCTTTGCGCTAGTGATGAATACTGTTGTGCAAAACATACATCATAGCTTATTGATATCCTTGATAATGGTTGCTACACTGAAGTGAAAAATTCTGGAAATAGCTACAACACACACTTGGAATCTCACAATCACATAATCAACCATTTTACTAAATACAGGCATATTTTCATTCACATACAGCTAAATAAAGATTTTTTTTCACATTTCATTACAGTGCACAACAAAGTGAGAAAAAGTATACAATACATTTTATTCTGGAATATAAGACAGTCTACTCCAACATGCAGTTGTGTTCTTTGTTACAAGTTAATCTTTTCTTTACCTATGTAGTAAAATAGCTTCTAAAGCTTTATCGTTAGTATTATAGTAACACCTGATTTTCTTCACACTTGTTTTCTAAAACCCACTTGCTGCAGTGACAACAGCACTGAATTCTACTAATTTTTTTTAAGTTTCTAGAACTTATTTAAGCAATTAAATTCAGCCACCTCTGCTGGGATCTATGCTATTTAGAACCTGCTTTTTAAATGTCATAAATGGGAAAGTATACATATAATGTATTTCAGTCAAGAAAATTGTAGAGAAGTTCTGTTTCTATCTTATTTTGGAACTAACAAGTATCCAGTCAACTGGATAACTCATTTATCCACTGGGTAGGCTTGCTCTCAGAATCTTCTAAATATAATTAATTGTAGTAATTGACATTTGTGTTGACCCAATTAACCAACTTTTATTTGCCTCTACAACAGGGAAGCTAGCAATTTAAGGACTCCACCCAAACCAGGTCATGTGAAATGAATATAGAGAAAATATCAGTTCACTTGTAGTTGATGCTGTGAATTGGTCCATGGTGCACGTCCAAGTTGGGGCACAGGTGGCAGAATGGTCTTTCAAAATTCTCATTGTTTGGCTTCGTTATTCTGGCTGAAGCAAATTCCCAAACTTTCAGATTCAGTCACATTCATACTGAAGTTCAATATGATATCTCAAAAAGCAATTTGCGATTCTTAGGCTTTCTTACCACAATGGATATGAGAAATCTGACCCTAATCAGAATAGTTTTCTTACTGTGAAAAGTATGGCTTTTGCCTAGCTGAACTGGCTACAATCCCAAAAGTAAATTAAAGCATCGCCTCTCTTCAAGAAGGTAATGCAACTTTCAAGCCGTTCCAATTTGCTGATGCATTTAGCTGTCTGTTCTCCTGAGAATTAAGAGCTGACTCTCTAGGGTAGATAGGAGCCCAGTGTAGGTAAATGGCAGACAGGTGACCCAGATCATTGAGGGATGAGTATTTTATACCCATTCCAGGCCCCATTGTTGTGTACGGTTCCTTTCAATGACATGTCCATTGTATTTCAGTGGTAAGAACACTTATAGCTCACACAATTCTAGTGTGTTTTCAGTTGTGTGATTAATCATTTATTTAAAGCCCTCTTGCCAAAAATACCTGAATGGGCTTTTCCTTTGATTTATTCCCAGTTTCCCTCAAGATTATAGCTGAGTCGTAATAAATAGGGAAATGATATTCTAACCTAGAACATTTATTTATAGTCATATGTTTTCCAAAGTAAACAAAACAGTAATTATTCATTCATCTAACAGAATAATGATTCAGTAAAAGGAACTAGGAATCAAGAGTTCTTGACCTTGAAAAAGTAGTGTCCTTGCACTAAGTTTACTATTCTGTAAAATGTGGGGAAACAACTCACAGGCCTGCTGCAGTGATCAAATAACTAGAGTGACCTTAACATGTCTGTAAGGGTTAACAATGCCTCCTGTTGAGCTAGTGCTCCCAACAGTTTTGATGAAAGGGTTTGCCTCAGGGCTCCTGTGAGAGGCAATTCCTGTGTTGCTTGTGTAATGTGCCTGAAGAAGCAGGCAGGTCGCTAACTTTGAGTTTGCGATTGCCAAAGCAGTGAAACTCTAGTTATGGTAGGTGTTCAGGTTTCAGTGTTTCCCTGTGCTATTTATGTGGTCATTTACATGGGACAATTGATTTGACACAGATGGTAACTCTAGCACAAGGGTATGTATCTTCTCAAATGTCATAATAATAGTGCATAAGTTACCTCCCTTTTCCTATTCACATCTTTTTACTAGAACACCAAGCCTTGAGAGGGCCTTACCAAATTGCTGGTCCATGCCCCTTGTTTTACAGGTGAATTGTTAGAAGCAAATTGGTATTTTTAAATCAAACCTAACACAAGTTTGGAATAGGATACTCTCATTGAATAAGTAGATCTCATACTCTTTCTTAGTTAAGTTCCCAATAAGCTATTTCCCTTTACATATTTAGGGTCGTGACTTATGAATAAGCCAAAATACCAAGGAACAATTGTCCTGTGTGTAGGTACGTTTTCCTGGGACCTAGCTTCCCAAGCCCCCGGCCCTTAACATGTCCACGAAGGGCACATGGAACAGCCACTGCCAAGCATGTGTCACAAAACAGTGCATGGCCCAGCGCATGTCAGCAATTCAGTCCCTTGGCCCCAGCCCCCAGGCTTCCCATTCATCCCCACACAAGCCTGTACAAGCCCCCCAGCCCCAAAGGAGGCTTGCTTGGTATCCAGAGGTTGAGTTCTCTTCAGTCACATAAGGATTCTATTTGTTTGGATCGCTTTTAAGTTCATGTGGGAGAACATATTTTGGAAATAAAAGGGCTGACTAGCACAGACATCTCCTCTCTGACTTGACAACCTCTTCTGAAGAGTGAACCACATTGGGTACAAATCCACTCTTCACCCCTTCCCAGCCCTCTTGGATTGTAATTTCCCCCCTTTTAACCAGCTCATATATGTCTCTGGTCAGGTCTGTGAAGGCTTTCTCCACATTAATGGCATCTCGGGCTGACGTCTCAATGTACTTCATGCCGTATGCAGCAGCCAGTTTCTCGGCCTCGTGGCGAGTCACTTGCCTCTGTGTATCCAGGTCACACTTGTGACCCACCAGAACAAATACAATTTGGTAGGGCTGAACGTGTACTTTGGTCTCTTCTAACCACTCATGGACATTCTGGAAGGACCTGCGGTTGGTAATGTCAAATAAGAGAAGACCACCTACTGAGTTCCTGTAGTAGGCGCGAGTGATGGATCTAAAACACAAGAAAGAAGTAAAGAATAAAGGTTGTGCTCAAACTCCTTCACTCCAATGAACTCAGTGTACCCTAGTGTTCTTGGTTAATGACAGTCCTTTAGTAAAAGTCCCTTTCTTTGTTTAAACAAGAGTACAAATGTCATTCATTAATTATACGTGTTTGCAGTGGGGTAAAATTTTTGAGATGGCATTTCCTAGAATTCAGTGCTCATGGAACATCTGGCATTTTCCTTTGATTTAAACATTGGAAAATGACCTTGACAGATGATTGAGTTCTGTCTCCTGCCTTCCTGATTTTCCTATTCCCAAATCTGAATAACTGACAAAGTCTTTGCCTTCTCCGTAATAAGTTCCCTAAGTCACAGGGTTTTTATAAGGCAAAATGAGACTAGTGCTAAAGTGTTCTGTGTCAATGAGTGGTCATTACAAATGCTAGTAATTGAAACAGGATTTTTTAAGACTAAAAATGAATCATGAGGGTTAAATTATATCTTGTATTATATCCATTCTTATTTATGTCTCTTGTTATTCCAACAATAATGGAATAATTAGGCAATGATAGTAATTATTATTATTATCATCATCTAACAGGTCCTCAATATCTACTATGAGGAGAAACATAATTTTGTTTTTTATTCTTCAGGCCATTTGGGAATGGAAAAAAAGGGGAATGGTGAAGGGTTCAGGAGCAAAGTGCCTCTCGATGCACTACTAGTTGACAAGTTTCAGAGAGGCTGAGTCAGGATTAGCTGAGAAAAATGACCTAGTCAAGTCTTCCCCTTAGAATTACAGTTTATTGAAAACATAATTAGAGGACTCATTACAATGTAAATAGAGTATCTAACCCTTATACATTTGTTGTGTTTCTGTTTTTTTGAGACAGAACTCTCTAGGTAGCCCAGGCTAGCCTTGAACTTGCTATGTAGCCCAGGGAGGTCTCAAACTCATGGTGATTCTCCTGCCTCAGCCTCCCCAGTGCTGGGATTACAAGCTTGGGCCACCATAGCCGGCTTTGCTGTACTGCTTATAAAGAAATCTCACATACTTTGACTTCTTCATTTAATAAGCCTCATAAAATATATTATGGTCCTTTTGTTTAGAGTGCATGAGCTTCTTAGAGGGTGTACAACTACAAGCAATTGCTTTAGATTACTGTGATTGTTGATGTATGCCTATTTTTGGTTTTATGTTTTTGCATGAAGAAGGTAAACAGTGAAGGACTCAATAGCTTAAAGCTTAGGGAAAATGCCTCATGTTAACAGAATAAAAATTGTCCATGGAATTACAATCCAATCTAGATTATGGTAAGAACAAACATTACAAATGAGTTCAAGTCTCCAGAACTAGGTAAACTTGTCCCAGAGACTGGAAACATTTCTAATTCCCTCTGACCAAAGATTCTTGAATAATGGTATGTATACTTGAAAATTAGACATAAACAAGAGTTCTAATTTGTTAAAGCTTGATTCAAGAAATCAGTAAGCAAGCTGTAGAAGCATGTCAAAACTCTAAAACTGTGTTATTATATGAGTGGCTTGTGAGTAGTTAATGTAAATTACAAAGCCTTTTCTAAGTACAACCTAAAGCTACACAAAACTTAATATCTACCCTAAACTAAAAAAAAGGCAGAGGTAAATGACAAACTGGGGAAATAACCTTACAACATGCATGACAGAAATGGGCTAATAGTCTATAAGGAAGTCTTACAAATAAGTATTGCCCAGTAAATAAAGAGCAGTGAATATAAACAGACTGTTCATATGGACATTCCAACAGACACATACAAGATATCTTCACTATGAGAAATGCAATCACACATTCAAAGTGAATCTGTACAAGGATATTTGCCAGTGTTTAGAAGTGAGAAGTTAGAGATGAGTTTGTAATTTTCTCTTTACTTCTCTTCAGTTACCTAACCAATACCTTCTACACTCAATTAGTGTTCAACAGATAAATAAATGATTATAAACATGGGCTAGTGAGTCTTTTGGATCTGTTGCCTGCTGCACTGCCTGACTTTAGTTCAAATTGTTCTCTGCAAAGTTTTCTGTATACACTGTTTTTTCTCCCTTCTGTCTTTATACATGCTGTCTCTTATCCCTGGGCATATCTTGTCTTTACTTGGGTCTCATCTTCTACTTCCCTCACCTGTATCCACACGTAATTACAAGTAATATATCCTACAAAGGAAAAGCAAAGGGTTGTGAGAGGAAATTTAACTATATTCATTGATCATTCATTATGTGCCAAGTGTTACAGTAGGGACTAGTATACAAATAAAAACAAGACACTCCTGTAATTGCTGATTATTCCCCCTGGTATTCTAGCACAGAGTTACAAGAGGGAAGGGGCTGTGTTTTGATTACATGTGAGTCTCTTCACACTTCACAAGAAACAACTCTGGAGTTTTGTGCATAGTAGGTGGCCAGTGAATGGATTGTGATTGCAAGAAAGAGTGTGTGCGCACGCACACACACACACACACACACACACACACACACACACACAGAGACACATACATATACACACAGAGATATAGAAATAAAAGAATATACATGTAGCTTGTCTATAGTATCTGTAGGTGTCAGTTACATTAGGATGACTTGGGAACATTTTTGAAGGTATAGAACATAAGGCCTTAGATTGATGGATTCTAGTGATCAATTCAAGCTAGTTTATTAGCTATCAGTGGCAGGCTGAGGGAGTTGCGTGCAAGCAAGATGTGTTATTGACCAGCCTTTCCTGCCAGGGCTCTTCTGCTGCACTGAACTCCCAGCCAGCCCAAGGTGGGCTTGAGTAGAACCCCTCCAGACCCTTGTACCGCGACTAGAACCAGAAAGTCCTCTCTCCCCAGAGGCTGTGCAAGCTCCGAAGACCCTCCCACTGCTCGCGGGCCCGGGCTGCGATCCCACCTGAACCTCTCTTGGCCTGCAGTATCCCAGATCTGAAGCTTGATGCGTTTTCCTGGCTCGATCTCCACCAAGCGGGAGAAAAAATCCACCCCCACGGTGGGGTCCGAAACCTGGGCAAAGCGGCCTTCGGTGAAGCGGCGGATGAGGCAGGACTTGCCCACTGTGGAATCCCCAATGACAATGAGCCGGAACTGGTAGAGCCAGATGGCCTCCATGGCCGCGGCTTGGCAGGTCTCCTAGGCCCGGGACGGGGGCAGCGGGAGCGGGCGCCCCGCCAAGGCCTCGGACAGCGCTGTTTGGTTCCGATTTAGCTCGGCTGGGAGCACATCGCTGGCTTGGGAGCCCAAAGGGAGGTAGGCCCAGGCGCTGGGAGAGTGGAGGGATGGATGCTGCGCTTGCAAAGGTGATGAAATGGCAGCAGCATCAGCACCACGCACTCTGACTCATCACGACTACCGGGTTACTACTGTAATTCCCCCCGTAGACGCGACTCTGGGGCTGCCGCACTGTTTAGAAAAGGAGCGCACACAAAAACTGACGCAAGAAGAGCGCGGTCCCCTCCTTTCTAATTAATTCATAGGCTCTCAATTTAAAATTTACTTGTTATTCAAAGTAAAGATTTAATTTCTTTTCATTGAAAGGAGTGAAACACTGGAAATGTAAACAAAAGTCCATACCTACGGATTTCTCCAGTGTTTTCATAATCACATAAACTTGTTTTTTTTAAATGTTAGATCAAACTGTACCCTTATTCTGAGACCTGCCTTTTACAATTAGAAAAACATCATAGATAACTATTTCCTACTCATTTTTCTTTTGTCATGATTCAAAAAAGAGTCTTTTAAGTACAACTATTCAAACTTTTTTTTTCTTTTTTTGGTGGAACCGGGAATTGAACTCAGGCCCTTGTGCTTGCCAGGGAAGCACATATTCGACCGACCCATCTCCCCAGCCCCAAACTCTTATTTCTGCAAGCTAGTGTCTTAAGGCAGCGAGGTCAAACACTAGGAGTATTTTAAGTTGTATTTATTTACTGGATACAGGGCTTTCCTAGTAGTTCAGACTCTCAGTGGTCCTTCTATCTCAATCCCCCCAGCACTGGAATTATAGGCATGGGCAAGAATGGCATGTAGTACCGAGGCTGGAACTCTGGTCCTTGAGCTTACAAGGCAGGTGCTTAGACCACTGAGCTATCTCACCAGCCCAGAAGTATTTTAAATTTAGTGTACATGAGCATCATACATCCTAAAAATATTTAGCAATTTAAATTCTAGCCAACAATGCAAGAAAATATGATTTTTCTGCATTATTTCATAACCATGTGTTTTATTGTTTTGTAATTCTTGCCAATCTAATGTAGTTTTAAAAAGTTATTGCTTGATTTCACAGAACACTTGAAGTCAACACCATGCCTTTTGCATTGGCAGTTTGCATTTTCTCTTCTGGGAATTGCCTGTTTTTAATCTTTTTTTTTCACAGTATTTTCAATTTTTTTTTTTTTTTTTTTGTATTTTAGGAAAGGCTCTACAGGGTGTTCAGGACCTGTTTACAGCCTCTGGAGAGCTGGGATTATAGGCGCCAGCCACCACATCTAGTCTCAGTTGCCCTCTCAGTGCGCCCTGGGAGCAGGCCGGCACAGCAGGCCTGGGGATCTAACCAGCCCCTGCACCTGCTTGCAGGTGCTTTAATCAGCTGAGCTATTTGGCCGACCCCAATGTTTAATTCTTTATTATTGCCTTAACTACTTTTTGTTTTAAAAAGCAGATTTATAGATCTGTTAAGTTCACATGCTACACAATTTCCCTACTTAAACTGAACAATTCCGTGGCTTTTAGTATAATTACAGGTATATGCAGAAAACACCCCAGTTAATTTTAGAGCATTTTTCTTGCCTCCAAAAGAAACCCAAGGAACTAAGAAGGAACAGTCTGTAACACAAGAAACCAGGACACTGGTGTCATGGTTGGAAAACCTGCTCTTCACTACTTTATTTCACAGAGCACAAATGAAGTCCATCCATTGGCTCTTGGCCTCAGCTGGAGTAGAGATGGGGATTTGATGTTTGAGTTGGTAACCATGGTGGAAATCGATGGGATGAAGTGTTATATAGGCCAGAGCCCTTCTCAACCACATCACCAACAAATATGACCTCTGGGAACAACACAAAAGAGATAGCCTCCTCAATATGTAAACAGAAATCATGGCAGGTATGCATGAAATGACTGTTCTTCATCCATTCTGTCCACTTGGGGAAAAGGATGCAAGCATTGCCCAGATCATGGAGAAAACAAGAAACCATACTTTTCAAAAGCATTAAAGAGTCATGGACAAGACTACTTTATTAGCAACAGGTTGAACAAGGTCAACATTCACCTGGTTGAAGTCATTTGTCATATGAAAGAGCTTGAGTCCAGCATTAAGGCTGACTTCCTTCTGCAGCATATGATCTATTTTAAGCCCCCAGGCAGGCATCCTTGCATCTCTCATCATGGAATCCCGTATTTGGACACTTGGACTGGTGGGTTTCTAACTTCTAGCCATCTTAGTATTCATCCTGCTACTGCTTGACCTTCAAAAGGATCTTCTAGGGCTTAGCCCTGAGGCATGAAAGTAATTTTGCTATGCAAGGAAATTGAAAGTGGATGCTACCTCAAGAAGTGTATTTTGCATTGTATAATGAGACAAACTCATCTCCATCTCCTCAACCCTCTATTCTGTTGTGATTTCTGACCCTAATTTCTCTTCCTTTATCCCAGGTATGAGGAGGCGTATTTCCATCTAATTTTCTTCCATTAACCCAAGAACCTACTAGCTGACACTGGGGAGAGAGAGAGAGAAAGAGAGAGAGAGAGAGAGAGAGAGAGAGAGAGAGAGACAGACAGACAGACAGACAGACAGACAGACAGACTGACTTACTCCCAACAATTCCCACCTTCTTTTTAGCGTGAATATTGGTTGTGACTGAGCCTGGTTTTCCTGGTCTACCTTTCAGCATTGCTCCTACCTCAATGTTCCCACCTCTTCACTTCTGTTTGAATGTTTTTCTGTTTCAGTGTCTTTTTTTTGTTTGTTTCAGTATCTAACAGACATGATTCTTCCTTATTTGTACAGTGGCAATGAATCTAAAGGATTAAAGTGTAAGGAAGAAGACAGAATGACTGGAGCAGAATAAAGTCTGAGAGAGTCAAAACAACCCACCATTTCTCCACCAGTTGCCCCTCTGTAAGTGCTTCTTTCCAGCCTCTGGCATTCACTAATCTATTTTCTGTATCTAGAGGGTTCCCTTATATGAGAAAAATTGCATTCTTCTCATTATTCCCCCAAAATGCAGTATAACCCATTATTTACATGGCATTTACATTGTATTAGGTATTATAAATAATGTAGAGATGGTTCATATATACAGACGATATGTATAGTTATGCACAAATATCACATCTTTTTTATAAGGGGCTTGAAAATCACTGATTTTATCTAAAGGAAATTCTGAAACTAATCTCTTGAGACTGAGGATCAATTATACTTCATTAATTTTATGGCTGAATAATATTCCATCGTACAAATAGACCATATTTTGTTTATCCATTTATCCATCAAGGGACGTTTAGATTTTTTACATTTAAATCATTGTGAATAGATCTGCTATGAATGTTTGTGTACAAGTTTTGCATTAAATAACATTTTCACTTCTTTTAGGTTTATATCTAAGAATGGAATTACTGGACCCTATAGCAACTATTTAATCCTTTGAGGAAAGACTTGGCTGTTTTCCATAGTAATTGCATCATTTTATGTTCTCAGTTGGAATTGATGAGAGTTTCAATTTCTTCACATCTTTTCCAAAGCTTACTATAATCTGACACCTTGAGCCTAGCCATCCTTGTAGGTGTAAAGTTTTATCTCATTCTGATTTGAGACACATTTCCCTAATGACTGATGGTCAGTTATATTTATTTTGTCTGAATAATCATCTAATTTTTATTTTTAACACTTAAAACTAACTTTAGAAAGCAAGTGTGAGGGGCTGGGGAGGTGGCTCAGTAGAATAAGCGCTTCCCTGGCAAGTGCAAGGGCCTGAGTTCAATCCCTGGTTATGCCAAAAAAAAAAAAGCAACAACAACAAAAAGAACACAAAGGTAAGTATAGTTCCAAATACAGTTAATTCAAAATACTGGGCTATTTAAAACATTTTTAACCACATTTCTGAGACTTAATACAATGAAAACGGAATTTTGTAATCACCCAATGGGAGTAGGGACAGTACTGGAAATTGAACTTATGACCTTTGTGCTGAGTTCCATCTCAATTCCTTTCTACTTTTATTTTGACACAGAGTCACACTAAGTCATTAAATTGCCTGGGCTGGGCTCAAACTTGCACTCCTGCTTTAACCTCTGACTTCTGGAATTACAGGCATGTACCACTGTACCTAGACAGAATTAACATGATCTTAAATCAAACAAATAAAACATCACTTACATAAACAAATATGCACAAAAGCCCCAAGTCTTTTTTTCCGCAATACCTTCCACAATCTTATGCAAACTTATCCAGAATAGTTTAAAAATTAAAAATTCAACTGTATGCTGAAAGATGGGTGGTGTAATACTGTTTTATTTCTCATTATTGCTAATACTCAATGACAGATTTATCAATGCTATGATAAGCAAGAACAGGAAATGACATTTTAGAACACATAAGATAGCTATGTAATTCAACAGTGCTATACTAGTATGAGTCAATCAAATTTCATTATTTTATTTTGCTTTTGAATAAAGGCAAAGCGTAGGTATACAACGTTTAGATTTAAGTGAATCTTAAAAAGTTACCTTTCCTATGAATTAGCCTTTAGACAAGATTATAATTTAGATAAATTATCAGGAGAATCTATCCAAATTGTAAGCAAGTTGTATAGTAACGAAACCTAGATGCACTGGAAGTTTTCTTTTTTAACCATATTGCTAGCACCCAGAGCAATACCTGACATACAATGTGTGTTCAACAAATATTTGATAAATAAAAATGAATCAATATTTAGGTTCAGAATACTCAGCTCTAAAACTACTAGATAATTCTAAAGTAACAGATACAGGCACAATAACAATCACATACTGCTATGGGCCCATAAAGTCCAGTGCAGCAGAATATTCTAATATAAAAAGTTCAGTTTTTTTTAAAAAAGAACTATAGCTTGATCATTAACAATGTACTTTCCAAAGATCTAACAGACTCGAGAACTTTTGAAGCTACTCAACAAAGGTAATTATTCATATTTACTTTTAAAATGTTTTATGGAAAAAAGGTAAAATAAAATTTTATAACAAAATAATAGGAGAATAATAGTAATTAATACATTGCATATCTTTATCTGTAAAGTAGTTGCTCAGAGTAAAAGATATGGGCATAATAATTTCTCCAGTTAACATTAGGACAAACCTTCCTTCTCTATGAACTAAGAAAGACACTAATAAATATAACTAACTTGTATTTTCTCTCCCTTTCCCCTTCCTTCCTTTCCT